TTTTTACTTTATTCCTAACAGTTCTCTGGATTATTTTCATTCTCCATAATGACCATGGATCATTACTATTATTTTTTAATATCATTTGACAAGGAAAAAATGTCAGAGACACACATTCAAATGGTGTTCAGTCTTGAGAAGAAACAGGAGTTGTTTAAATAGACACTTCAAGCAGACAACAGCATGGGATAAAGATGGATATTACAAATGGTTTAGAAAGGCTGGAGGCTGAGAGAAGAGAGGAGCAAAAGACCAAGCCAGAATGACAGACTAGGAATTCCGTATAGAGAGGTTGTTAAGACACTTAGCCCTACTGACATTGGGAAACCAAGAAAGGTGTTGAAACAAGAAAAGTTTCACTTAATATTTTAAGAAAATAAAAATTAAAAAGACAACAATCCCACTGCAACTTGCAATGTAAAGATTATTTTAGGAGTAAAGCAAGATTGGAAGCCCCCCCCCAAAAAAAAAAGTTAATTCACAGACTAACAATATGCTAATTAATAATTAACAAAGCCTTGAAAAAAAAAGTTAAGGGTTGTGGAGACAGAGAAATCCTCGATAAGGAATAATTGGAAACCCTTATGAGCAAGAGAGAGACACTGCTAGTAAAGAGACAAAAGTGATCAGTTAAACAGTGCAATTCAAAGAAAGCTTCTCTAGTATTAAGCTTTCCATTACTCATTACTCTAACAAATGTATGAAATCATCAACTTACAAAGAAGAAAGGTTTATTTTGTCTCAGGAGGTTTTGATTCACTCTAGGGCCACCTCACTGCTTTGGACCTGTGGTGAAGCAGGTGTTATCAAAACAAAGCTGCTCACACACAGCAAAAGAGACCAAGGTCTCACAATCACCACCTCTTAGTTTCTACCAGTTAGTTCCCAATGCCACAGAGGGGAAACAAAACTTTAGATAACATGGGTCTTTGGAGAACACTCCAAACCTACACTACAGCAGCTCACTGACGTCCTTCAGCCTCTCACCCATTCCACATAGAGGGTTATTCTTTCAGCCTAGACACATGGGGGAGGGCCTAGGCCCTGCTCCAAATGATGTGACAGACTTTGAAGATCCCCCATGGAAGGCCTCATCCTCCCTGGGGAGCAAAAAGGGAATGGGATAGGGGGATGGTACAAGGCAGGAGAGGAGGGGGAGGGGGGAGAGGGAACTGGGATTGACATGTAAAACAAGCTTGATTCTAATTAAAATTTAAAAAAAAAAAAAAAAAATCAGCCTCTCAGGGAAGGCACTGCAGAAATGCCACAAACACCAGATGCCTTAAAAGTTTCCAAAAGACATTACCAAAAAAGTATGCTAGTTCATGTCCACTGGAAGAATAACCAAACTATCATATATATTAAAATTTAAGTTCTCAATTACAAAAAAAGTCATGATTATTTATTGTTATAACGGGATGGTGGTGCATGCCTTTAATCCCAGCAATCGGGAGGCAGAGGCAGGTGAATCTCTGTGAGTTCGAGGCCAGCCTGATCTACAGAGAGAGTTCCAGGACAGGCTCCAAAGATACAGAGAAACCCTGTCTCAGGGAGGAAAAAAAAAAAAAAAAAAATACAACAAGAACTATGTAAATACATATCTCTACCCCACAGGTTACCAAAAAACACGAAATTATGACCAGAAACAGAATACTGTGGATAGCTGTTGGGTTTGAGTTACATTTATAAATCACTTACAGGTCAAGATCAAACCCAGATCATTTTCTTTTCAGTTCTTAACTAAGTATAATCTTTTAACTTAAAAATTTGTAATTATTTAAATTACAAAAGTAAAATAGGCACACTACAGTAATTCAAACAATTCAGAAACACAAACTTCTACCCTCTATCAACACTTTGATTTTTCTTGAAACACCCTAAGGAGAATTTGTTGAATTCCTCTAAGTTTTTCTTTGCTTATGTAAGCATATATGTGTTCATATACAGGACAAATGTCATGCTGTAACTTTTTACTTAGTATAATTCTAGCCTACAAGCTAACATATATAGTATTTCTTCAGTTTTAGTATCTGTAAATACACAAATATTTGCTCATAAATTTATTTTTCTTTCTTCCTTTTCCCCCCTAGAGGCAGGATCTCTCTATACAGCCCAGATTGACCTGGAATTGGCAATCTTCCTGTCTCTGCCTCCCAACTGCTACTATTACAACTGTTTATCACCATGTCAAAAAATAAATTCATTTTTTGAAGTGACAAATGTGAAGTTTTTAACATAGGTACATACTATGTAAAGATCAAGCTACTTAACATGTCCATCATCAACTAGTCAACTTTCTTGTGATAACATTAGAAATCTATCCTTTTGGCTATTTTGAAAAACACATTTGTGCTGGTTGGTTTCTGTCAAATGTTCATAAACTCAGATCATGAAAGAGGAAATCTCAATTAAAAAAAAAAAAAAATCCTTTCATCAGTCTGGCCTAATGGGCAAGATTGTGGAGCATTTCCTTTATTAATGAGTGATACCTGAAGACCCAGTTCACTGTGGGCATTGTGCCGCCCCTGGGCAGGTGGTCCTGGTTGGTTGTATAAGCAAGCAGGTTGAGAAAACTACAAGAACAAGCAGGTAGGCAGTGGTCCTCCTCCGTGGTCTCTGCTCTAGTTTCTGCCTCCAGGTTCCTGCTTGAGTTCCTGCCCTGACTTCCCTTCATGAGGGACTGAAAGAAACATTTTCTTCCCAAGTTATTTTGTCATAGCCTTTATCACAGCATTAGAAACCTAAGGAAGACAGTGTTACTACCAACTGTGGTTAACATGAAGGAACACAAACCACAAAACTTCGCTCCTTGAGTCTAAATGGCAGATTGTGCCCTCTGACCAACGTTGCCCCTTTCCACCTCTCCCATCCCTACCCACCACCCAGTGCCCCAGCCTCTGGTAATCACCTGTCTGCTCTCTGTTTGCACAAGATTAACTTTGTTCAGCAACAGTATCTGTGATTCTATTCCTATCTGGTGTCAGTTACTATAATGTCGAGCTCTATCCATATCATCATGAATGAATTACCTTCTTATTAAGCTGAATAGTATTCTTTATGTATATATGCCCATCCTTTTGACCCATTCATCTGTTGACACTTAGTTTGCTTCCACAGCTTGTCAATTAGGAATATTAATAATAGAGTAAATATCTCTTCTGACAACTCATTTATTTTAGGTACTGAAATGAAATTGGATTGTTATATCAAAGTCTGTATACATCAGGAACATTCTTATTTTTTGCTATCAGAAATAAGGCTACAATAAAGAGTATTGTATAGTTCTTTTAAGAATTTATGCTCAAATTTCTATCAGATAAACCATATACAGATGAGTTCTGGGTTAAAGTATAACATTTTAGTAAATATTGCTATGTTTTGCTCCTAAAGGGAACCTAATTTACATACCCTCTAAGTTAGAAAGTAATGTTTCTCTATTCTCTATGACAATACTAGAGATTATCATATTCACACTTGCCTAGGTAGAAGATTTATCAGTTATTCATGGAGCACATCTATTCACATGTCCATTGTCTACTTGTATTTCTCCTTTTATGAAATACTCATTCAGATTCTTTGTCTTTCTTTTGGAAGGTTTTCTTTTTAATTGGTTTTCTTATTAATATGTACAAATTTATTTATGATGGCATTTTTGTATTTGAAACCCAGGGTAGCCATCCTCAAGCCTGCAATCCATGTGTCTCAGCCTTCCAAGTGTTTGTGATTACAGACAAGAGTCACCACACCCAGCTATTCACAATGTCTTTTATCTTCAAACGCTTTCAATATTCAATATTTCAATAGAAAATGCCAATATTTTCTATTATGGAGTGTATTCTGTTTTGCCTAGGAACCTCTTCTGCTACCTAGTATTGTTAAAATAATATCCTGTACTCGTCCTTGTAATTTCCTTCTAATTATTTTACTACAAATTAGTTTGTGTTACAGTTAAATATTTAACACACCTAAAATTCATTCATGCAGTATTTTGAAATAGGAGCTGTTGTAATACTATTTACAGAATTATCTATCTTTAAAAGTTTCCTCCTACCACAACAGATTACTACAAATAGCTATGACAACATACAGAAATAACCATTACTTGAAATCTCACTTACTCAAGTCATGGTGTTTATAGAGAACCAACAGACAGGTACTAGGGTACAATGGGGAACAAAACAAGCATCGCTACTTTCAGGCTGCTTACAAATCTAACTTAAATTTCTCCCCTCCCCTATAAAATTATATTTTAAAGGAAAAGGGAAATCTTTGTTCACACAAATTCAATACACTTGGCAAAGTAATAACATATTATACTTTCCATTTCCAAAACACTACTTTATTTCAAATGTTCCTGTTTATCCTATCTCCTTAACGAACTCACGTAACCTAAACTCTTCACTTTCTTTACCATAGTCACTTTCACCAAAACAAAAACCTCAATCAGGAAAAAAAAAAAAAAAAAAAATTATAAATCTGTTAACAAGTACGACCATCAAGTGTTTACTTTTTTAAAACTTCATGCCAATTGTGAACAGTTCAAAGAATCCTACGGATTTTGCAAGTGGCTCGGAGAAGCAAGAACTTGGGTGGCCTGTCAACAACAGGTACAGAAGGGAAGCTGACTGGTGATGGGCACCCCAAACTAGAGAACCACCACCCCAGAGGCTGCCCCACACCCACAGAGGCCTTGGGGGACGGCCCTGAGGCCACGCCCCCACCTCCACCGAGCCCGGCGCCTCCTCCACACACCAAAACGCTGAACAAAGCGCCGCGGGGGGAGTGTGGACGGGACTCTGCCCCGGCAGGGTGACCTTGGCCACGTGTCCTCAGTTTCCTCCTCCGGAAAGTGAGGCCAGGCCTGCATGGCCGCCTCCAACCGGGCTGTGGGCTCCGGACTCTCGCCCCACAGCTGCAGGGAAACTACCGCCCCTTCCCCCACGCGGCTGCCCGCCGCTGCCCCGCGTCGCCCCCGCCCCGTCCGCGCCCACGCGGGCTACCTGCGATCTGGGAGACGAACGCTTCCGCCACCAGTGACATGTCGGCTGCGAGGCCCTGACCGCGCGCCTGCGCTCCGCGGCCCTCGGCGCCCTCCCGCGCGACCTCGGCGGCCCCCAGCAGCTAACGAGACTCGCGGGGCCAACGCTCACACGCGCAGAGCACACCTCGGCAGCGGCGGCCCGGCCCGCAAGGTTACCGCCAGGCCGGCCGAGGACTTCCGGCGTCGCTGACAGCGCGCGCCGGCACTTCCGGCTGCTCCGCCCAGCGCGCTCCGGGCCGGTGTGAACCCTTGGAGATCAGGCTCTCTCTGTGCAATGTGGCTAGGTACATGTATACACAGGTACATCGGTGCTTTTGAATTCCATTGCATCCTTTCAGCAACCTACCAAGATGGAAAGAAGCTTGAAGGGGTTAAAGTGCCTGGTGCGGTGCTGCTGAGGCCCAGAAACTCAGAATTCCCTCAGTTCCAATAGCTGCAGGATTTGAGGCCCTTGGACAGATATTAGTGTCAATTATTTATTCAAATGCTCTAGCCGGAAGGAGGTTTGAACAGCTTGTGAGCTGAAACACGGTTTGTCTTTCAAGTCCATGCACCCAAAATGAAGCTGGGAGAATAAAACACTTAAATTTCTTGTTTTCTGGGTGTAAAGGGAGCAGTAAAGAAAGGGCACTAAATCCCATGAGTCTTTCCTCTTAGCCTTTTTTTTTTTTAATTATAGGTTACAATTGTAGATATTGCCAAATTAGAAACATGAAGTTACACTTATAATAGACTTCAGAGATCATTTGTTGAGCCAAAGCCTCTTTCAGTGATGAGAAAATGTCTCAGAGAAGCAAGAACACTGTGTGTGTGTGTGTGTGTGTGTGTGTGAGAGAGAGAGAGAGAGAGAGAGAGAGAGAGAGAGAGAGAGACTAAGTTCCTCTTGAGTCACTCTCCACCTCACTTTCTTCATATAGGGTCTCACTGAGAATCAGGATCTCAAGGATTAGACCAACAACAGTATGCCAAAAAGTCAGGACTGAGCAGATAGCTCCCTGGTAACACTCTTGCCTACCTTGAGACCCTACTTCCCATCTTCAGTCTCAACACACACACACAAAACCATCACATAGCTTATGAAGTTTGTACATAGAAAAGCTGCTAAGGATTACTGTCCAGGACATTGGGAAAGGTATGTCTCCTTTATGTTCATGTATCACTGACCCTCCCTTACAATTTATTGTTCATATTTCTGCTTCCTTAACTGATACAAAAGTAGTATATTGCTTTCTTTTAAGTGCCATACAGTCCCCCCCCCCCAAAAAAGTGCCATTCGGATTACCACACAATGGGTGGTTAAAACAACAGATGTGTTTGTTCTCTAGTTCTAGAAGTCTGAAGTGAAAGCATTGGCAAGACTCTGCTTTCTCTCAAGGACATTGAAATAAACATCCTTCCTGATTCCTCATAACTTGTAGAATTGCCTGTGCTCCTTGACGTTCCATGACTTAGGCACGTCACTTCAACCTCTCCTTCCGTCAGCACATGACATTCTCCCTGTGTGTCTCTTTGTCCACAACCCCCTCTTGGAAGCACCAGTCATTGGATTAAGGCCCACTTTATTAGAAAAGACCTCTTGTTCATTCTAACTGCAAAGTGCTGACTTCCAGATAAGGTCACAGCCATTGATACCAGAGGCTGGGATGCAGAAGTCTTCTCAGAGGATGTAAAATAGTAGAAAGTTTTGAAGACTAGACCATAGCAATATTTGTAGCTCCACACAAAAAAATAAGATTGTTAGACCAAGTTTAAACTTACCCATTAATTTAAATAGACACAAAGTATTTCTAATAGCATCTTTTCTCTGGCTGAAATGGATGGTTAATGAGATGCTCATAGCAATACAGGAAAGATAGGCTGTCCTTATTTGTGCTAAGGGAAGAAGCACTAATAGTGCAGTATGTGTTGTTCAATTCCCTCCTCATCCTGTTGTTGATATTGACCTAGAGAAATGAGCTGTTCTGGAATCTTCCTCCCAATCAAGTTTTCCATTCTTGTCCTCTGCACAGGGAATATTATGTATAGCCTTGAAAAAAATGAAAGTCTATTACCAGTTCAAGTTTTATTGGCCTCTTCTGTTTGTTTCTAAAGCTATAGATACTGTTTTGACTATTTTGGATGGCTTTAGTATTCTATTTCACAACTTGAGCCCAAGTCCTTAGATAACAGTCTTAACAACTGGACTATGAAACCAATAAATATAAGGGGTAGAGGTGAACCCCAAAATGGAAAACAGTGCTAGAGCCAGAGACTGAGAATATATGTAGGAACAACAGAGCAAAAGTGAGGCAAAATGGATGTTTGTGCATAATTTTTGTCAAGCAGCCATAGCTTGCTAAACACAATAAACTGGGATGCATCAAAAGTACTGGGTCAGTAGCTGATGGAAGCAGAAGCAGACACCCACAGCTAAACACTAGCCGAACTCCTGGAATCCAGTTGCAGAGAGGGAGGAGTGATGAACAATGGGGTCAAGATCATGCTGGGGAAACCCACAGAAACAGCTGACCCGAGCAAATGGGAGCACATGGACCCCAGTCTGACAGCTGGGGAACCAGCATAGGACCAAACCAGGCCCCCTGAACATAGGTGTCAACTAGGAGGACTGGTCAGTCTATGGCACCTCTGGCATTGGAGCTAGGATGTATCTCCAGTGCACAAAGAGACTTCGGAAGCCCATTCCCTATGGAGGGATACTCTCAGCCTAGATACACTGGGGTGGGGGGGGTGGGGGGGACGGCTAGGTCCTACCCCAAATGATGTGACAGACTTGGATGATCCCTCAAGGAAGGCTTCACCCTCCCAGGGGAGTGGATGGGGTATGGAATGGGGGATCAGTGGGGGACATGGGAGGATGGGAGTGAGAAGGAACTGTGATTGATAAGTAAAATAAGATTGTTTCTAATTTAAATAAAATGTGTGTGTGTGTGTGTGTGTGTGTGTGTGTGTGTGTGTGTGTGTGTACTTGTTTAGGATATACCTACATCTGCGGCTATAAAAAGTCTCTTAGCCTGTCATAGATGCTAGAAGAAAATACCTTGGATTGGTTAATTTATCTTTTTTTCTGGGTTTTTTGTTTGTTTGTTTGTTTTGAGACAGGGTCTCTCTATATGACCCGAGCTATCCTGGAATTATGTAGACCAGGCTGGCCTCAAACTCACAGCTGTGCTATGCCTCTGCTGGGATTAAAGGTGTGTGCCACCACATCCAGCCAGCCTGGGTAATTTATAACCAGCAGATTTATTGCTCATTTTGGAAAGCTCTGAAATCCAAAATCAAGGCTTCAGTAGATCCAATGCCTTGCAAGAAGAACAGTTCCTCTTAAACAGTACCTTCTCATGCCTTCAGATGGTAGAAGGAAAGGGGGAACTAATAAGTTCCCTCAAGCCTTTTTAATAAGGGTTTTAATTCCATACATGAGGGAAGAACCCTCCCAAAGGCCTCTCCCTCTTAAATACTATCATACTGCTGACTGTGTTTCAACATTCTAATTTGAAGGGATACCAGCATTAAGACCACAGCAGCTAGCCTTTTGAGAAAAAAAAAATTAAAAACAAGATCTGCTGGGACACTGTCTATACGCAACTCCTTTTTTTTTTTTCATTGCAGCCAAGGAAGCTGAATCCTCCACAGCATATGGATTTACTTTTTTCTCTCTGACTGACAGTTCTTTTGCTTCCCACACAGGCAAATTTAGGCTGGAAAGAATGTGTAATGTGGGAGGTCTTTATTACTAAAAATTAAATCCAATAAGATGCAGATGTCCTGACGGTGTCCACAAACAAGCTTTCTTTGTAGTAAAGAGCCAACTGGAGAAAATATATTTATGCATCTGTATTAGAACAACTGGCAGATTTAAAACTGAAGATCTGTTTAAGATCACCACAATTAAGGGAAATACAAGAAAACAAGCCACTGGAATTTTTAAGAATGAGGTTATAAAACAAAAGTACTGTGGAATCCATATGTTACAAAAAGGATGGTCACACAATTATTTAAAATAAATTATTAATGCATGACACTAACAGTCTTATTGTTTGTCCTAATAAAATTGCTTACTTGCCAAATTGTTCTGTCATAGGGTATTTGCAGGTCTGTAGCCTATACTTTGTTACATAGTAAGAAAATGTTTAATTATTGTTTTAATTATATGTAAACATTAAAATATTTGGGTTTATTTTATTTTTCTCTAACAGAATAGTAAAACTTTAGTGCAAATATTTTTGAAAAATGTCTGCAAGAGAAAACTCTTATCCGTTAATACATCAAAAGGATACTATTGCTCTGATAATAAAATAGTAAATTCCAGACTTCTTAAGTTAGTTCCCTCCTCCACAATCAACGACTTTGAGTATGGCTAATTTATTCAACCCAAATAGTGTGTTATTCAATTAAGAGACAACAAGCTGTAGGTAACGCCAAACTACTCCAAGAAATTCTCTCTTTAATTTTTCTTTTCTTTTAAGTTGGAGTGAAGGAGCTCTTGCTGTGTATCCCAGACTGTCCTCAAACTCATCTCCCTGAGTGCTAAGATTAAAGGAATGTGCCATCATACCTAGCTTTACAAGCTTTACAAGGGTAAAAGGTCCAGAAATGTATCAACAGTTCATCCTTATGTCTTCTCATTCCTTTTCTCCCCTTACAAATACCTAAGGAATCACAATTGACCAGAACAATAAAGTTTATACGTTTTGTCCCCACTTCCTGATTACAACACCTGTTTTACACTAGCACTCCATGATTTGAAACGTGAACTACAAGGATATTTGACTACTTTTTGAGAAATAGCTACATGATTGATTGTTGTGGGCAAAGATTTTAAAATATTAATGGTTTTCAAAATAATTAAAATGCTGTTTCCGACATGTTCTTCTAAACATCTTGCTCACTTTCATAATTTGCTATAGGAACTAGGTCTATTTGCTTTACTAACTACCAGTCTCTGGTACCTATGTCTTATCTACAGCCACAGGAACTGTGTTAATTAGGACTTTTGTGGTTGCAAGTTATAAAAACACAATCAAACCTAACTTAAGCAAGTTTAAGTTTATTGTCCCATTT